AGCATTCGGCTGTAACTTGGAGAAAGAAACGAGATTTCGTGCCTTTTGACATTTTTTTCAAAGGATGTTTTAAAAATTGGAGAAATGTTTTAAAATATAATATTTATATAATAGTTAAAATACTTTCCATTGTGCGAAAGCTATATTTGATACCTTGAAAGCTTCACATCCCACCGACTCACGTAATCCACACACCCACAATTAAATAACATAATTTGAATACATAGAAAAGTCAAAACCCTTCGACGCAAAAGACGGTAAGAACCGCGTGGAGACTGAAGGAAGAGAATATTTCGTGTCGAAACAGAAAACGGGACAAAATTTCATAAAAGTCACGATCACATGCCCTCTCGTCAGGGAGTCGATAAGATAAGGTCATCGAGTGACCATGAATCACGAAATGGGGGAGGAAGCGAGAGGCACTCGAGAGGAAGCGAGAGGCACTCGAGAGGGAGCGAGAGGCACTCGAGAGGAAGCGACGCAGCATGTTGGTCCTGTGCTGGGTTTTTCTGGGGCTTTTGTGGCCCTGTTGGGGCCAGCTGGATGGGCTTCTGCAGGGCCTTTTGGTCGACCTGTACCCGAGTGAAGCGGGAGGGGCGGGCCCGGAATGCCTCGCGCATACGAAGGCTCTGTTTTCGGAGCTGGGCAGCCCGAACGTCTCCGACTGGGCGCTGCAGAGTGAGTTCCTCAAGACTCACGCGTGAGTCCGTCGCGGCTCACGCGTGAGTCTTTCGCGGCTCACGCGTGAGTCCCTCTCGATTCCGAGACGGAGTTCGCTGAAACTTTTCGTCGTAGTGGTGGACGCGACCGGGAAGGCTCCGTCTGGGATCCTGACGGGAAACGTCTGGGGGATGGGGAACTTCCACGAATGCCTGGGGGTCAGGGCCGCGTTGGACGCCGAGGAGAACGTGACGGAACTCCAATTTTCGGGGAAATACTGCCTCGTCTCCTTCGACTTGCACATGTGAGTGCAAGATTAAATCTAAAATTAAATCTAGATTAAATCTAAAATTTTTAAAATCTGAACTGGAAATTTAAAATGTTTTCCCGCTGGACTCAGCGAGGACCAGCCGTCGACGAGAAGCGGGGACTTCATCCTCAACTTGGGTGGATTGGCAGCCGGTGCCGGGATGAACAACATCCCGATCCTCATCGAGGGGATCTGTCTCCCTTCCTCCTGCAGCAATCAAGACCTTTTCGTGAGTCTTCATCGGGATGAGAATAAATGAGTTTCGTAGGAAATGATTCCTCTGAGAAATAAATAATAATAAAAAAATCGCCTTGAGATATGGCTTAAACGCGGTGGCACCAGCGATGAGGAAGGACGGGTGTGACGAAAAAAAAATCCGCGGTTGTTCAAATTTTTTTTATTATCAGGAAGTCGGTGATTATGGTAACCGTATAAGTTACAGGAAATATATACGACGACGTTTCGTCTTAAAAAAAAAATACAATTTTGTCAGAATTTTCCCCATCTTGTTCGGCCGAAGCACTTTGAAGATTGCGAGATAAGTCCTACGAAATCCAAATGTATGCGTTGTCTTCGATAGATAGAGCAGCGATGAAATGTGCTTCCTGGAAGCGTCCATTAATCAATTCAATGCGCGATTCGCCGACGGAATCTGCCGGATGCGGTCGTCCGAGGGAGAAAAACGGCCCACTGAGTGTCCGCAGGGGGTTTCGCTAGCTTTAATGAGATTCAGGGGAAACAATTTTTTCATTACAACTAATAAATGTAAAATTATTATATTTAAATTTAATTAGAAAAAAAAAAACAGAGATTTACGGATGTTGAACCATACGCAGGTCTTGAATAAATTTAACAAGATCGTGGATGAGATTTCTCCGCCTGAGCTCACTTTCGCATTTGAAGCGTAAAAATGCGCGGAAGCGAAAATGGGTTTCATCGCGAGGAACCAGTCCGATAAATCCGAGCTTAATCCAACGCCACCGCATCTTTCCCTTTCTCCCCCGAAAGATGGCGCTCGGGCAGGCAAGGGGCTGGGGAGATTTTCGAATGAGATACCAAAGCCTTTTTTCTTGCATTGCTTCATTGAGGCAGATTACATTTTATAAATTTAGCGTCGGGAAGGAATTGCCCGCTAAGTCATTATTATAC